AATCTTTTGTTCAAGTCAACCAACATGGTGGCTATGACGTCACATGCACAATAACAAAAGACATGGTCGCCATGTTGGTTGACATAACAAGAGAAACCAAGACCAAATCTTTTGTTCAAGTCAACCAACATGGCGGCTACAAGGTCACATGCATCCTAAGAACATACACATCTGATAAAACAAACGCCAAGCAAGTTTAAGTGAATGCCTATTGGTGTTAATTTTCTAGTGTCAAGTCAGAGGGAGCCAGCAAATCCACCTTTGAGGATCTGTTAGAGTCTCTTAAACAGCTTGAACAGCAACCTGAAAACCCGTCAGCTGCTGATTCTGGATCCAAGTATGATGAATGGGGTAAGATAGAACTTTGCGAACCTTGTTTCAGAGGTTGGTTTTTGCGGGAGGGAGGAAAACTACACCAATGACAATAATAACAACGACAACAACAACGACGAAAACAACAACAACAACAAGGAGGAAAATATCTCAAAGCACTGGAGAAAAACAACAAGCAATTTTACAATAGCTTACAAATTTTTCGCACGCTGATTGGTTATTTTTTATCTTCAATAAGGGGACAGACAGATAAAGCTGACGTCAACGAGCGCGCGCTCTTTCCGTTGGTTGTCTTGATCGCAAAAAAATGAGAAGTTTTGTCTTTTTTTTTTTATTGTAAAAAACAAATAGACATCAGTTTTTTTATGTGTCTGTCCTCTTATTGACGATAAATTGCGTCATCACATTGTCAAAGAAGTATGCGGATCACACTACTATTCATACTACTTTGACAATGTGATGACGCAATTTATCGTCAATAAGAAGACAGGCACATAAAAAAACTGAGGTGCTTACCATTTACACCCAGAAAAACCGGAAATTCCGGTTGGAAAATAAATGGTATGTATCATTCCTTTCGGAGAGTTCCTGAAAACTCGGTCTTCAGATTGAGGTAATCCACTTTTCCCGCTCTTTTCGGTTCTTTCAGTAGACGCGTGTACCATTTTTCGAAAGTCAAAGTTTCCCGCTCTTTTCGGTTCTTCCGGCAGACGCGTGTACCATTTTTCGAAAGTCAAAGTTTCCCGCTCTTTTCGTTTTTTTCGGTAGACGCGTGTACCATTTTTCGAAAGTCAAAGTTTCCCGCTCTTTTATTACCATTGGCGAATGAATTTCTGGATGGATTGGTTTAAATGATAAGCACCCCTGATGTCTATTTGTTAACTCTACTTGCATACGAAAGCAAGTCCAGGGATAGAACCCATGGGCACAATGATGAGAGGCGGTACATCGGTACATTAGCAGAGCACTCCACCCATACTGAACTTTCCACACACAAAAAAAGGTTTCAAGAGTGATTCTATAATTTTCATAAGTGGCTTCGTTGCACACATTCATGAAACACGAGTTTGGTACAGAATTCTAATTATTTCTCTGGTACCTGTTTTTCTTAGTGGAACAGCTAACTGCACGCATGGATGATGGCAATAAGGTCAGTATTTTTGATTTCAATCAATCAATTAATCAATCAATATTTTGTTCAGTACTTATTAATATAACACAATATTTAAATATTTACATTTGTGAGAAATATGACATACATAAAAGTACAAGCTGCCTATGATAACTTAAAAGTTAGACTAGATAGGTAGCTACTTAGTACATAGATTTAAATTGTAATAGCAATTAGGTAGATGATACATTTTTCTATTTACATGGTATGTGTAGATACAAAAAGGATTTTTGATGTTAGTGTGCGGCTTTCAGAGATAGAGATCGATAGTTCAATTCTCAGGATCTCCACGTCTGTTTCGACTTCTCTCTGTTCTGTGTAGCTTTAGATTTAAGTACTCGCAATAGGAGCACTGATAGTCTGTGGGGATAAAGTGCGCACCCTCGCCGCTTTATATATGGGTTCCTGTCTCGGGAGAATTGGGCAAACACTACCCTCGTTGTCGAAGTAAAAAATTAGCTTTACCTTATTACCTTATTACCCCCCTAAATTTAATTGACTTGCTATAGCGCCTTTTAACCTCCGAGCTCCCTGACGATAAAAAAATGGCCGGTCCTACATGTATATATAATGGTTTTTATTTATATAATATTGAATTTCGTTAAATCTGTTCCTAAAGGTGAAACTAATAGTAACGCGTAGTAACGCATCTGAGTATTAAAACACATAAATCTCCACCCCCCCCCCCCCCCCCCCCCC